AGGAATGAAATGTAATTGCGTAATTGACAAAAGTAGAAGTAATGCACAGAAAATTCCAATAAATTGGTAACATAATGCAAAAGCAAATTATATTTTTTAAAAATACCAGTTATTATATAAAGTATACACAGTATATATGGAACAATTTACTTAAAGAGCTAACACTTTTTTTAAAAAGCACTGATCTCTCATTTTACCAAGTGATTCTTCAGAAAATAGAATCAAATCTTACTTCAGAAAAAATACATTTGTGATGACTTACCTTACAACCCTCACATGCATGCACGCCATAATGAAATCCAGAGGCCTTGTCCCCACACACACGACATTCAATGGCCATAAGGGAGTTGGAAGACTCCTCATGAGGTTTATTGTACAACTGAACTTTTTCTGAAAAGTAGGGTGGGGAAGGAGGCTCCATTTTGATTGCACCTGTGTATAGAGAAGATTTAAATGATAAACTCGAAGTATAATTAAATATACAGAAGAAGAAGCAGCAAGGAATAATCACAAACAATCACAGTAAACATAACTGCATCCATAGGTCTGATTCATAATCCAAAATGAGTAAAAACCAAAAGACGTACAGGTATTTAAGCTGTAAGCAGCTATTTCACTGGCTGTATTTAGGCTGAAAAACCCTGAAGAGGCAGCTTCTGATGTAGAAAGTGTATTACAGATGCAGTTTTCATCTCTGTGGTGTGGAATGATTCAAAAATAGGGATATTAAAAATTTACATATGGAGACCCCATACTTGAAAGGCCTTATTCAGTATCTAACCTGGCTCTGTTACTTTAAGTAGTTTGGAACTACTGCAGGGAGATGGACTGGAGTTTCTAATCTAGTCTAAAAATATTTAAGTATCTAATAGACCTATACATTTAATATTATATTACTGGATAATATAATTTTAGATATTTAAAGAAATTTATCTGTCTCATGGGGAACGCTGTCCAACTTTGGATGCAGTTTAGAGATTAATTTTCTCTTCTGATCTGTAAAATTGAAGAAGCTCAAATGATCAAATATGGTATCTTTTAATCAATCACTACTGGTCACAGAAGAAAGCTGCGACATTTGACACTATAACATTGCATCAGATCACATCTGGGAGTGGTGTAACAGACACAATATTACAATAAAGTGAATATTTTTCTTTTCCAGGCTGGCTACACTATACAAACTAGAAAGTTTTCTTTCCTATATAGACTAGGAAGAAAAAAGGAAAGTGGAAAATTATCTAAGTAAAGACAAAGATTTATCGTACCTAAACTCTGCTGCACTCTCTAGGTTTTTATCAAAGTGTTATGGACATTTCTAATTAAACAAAAGAAAAATAAATTATTAGCTGGAAAAATGCCTTTTATTTCATAAGCAACCCAGAGGTACATGTGTACAGGTACACAGAGGTACACCTGTACAAAATTAAATACTACAGTTTTCCCAGCAAGAATACCCTGAAAGAATTCTTGTAGAGATTACTACAAACAAAAGTGATGCCAGATCTAAGTAGGCTAAGCAGATCTTTAAAAAAGTTCCAGGCACAACAACCTCCTATTCCCACTTTGAGCAGGACTGCTGTAAAAACTTATTTAAGAATAGGTCACTTCCTTTCTTAAAAGGAGTGTTCTGTGTCATTTTTTTACTCTAAGTGGTGAAAGAGCAGCGTTTTTCATAGTGTATGGAGAATACTAGCCCACGAAGCTGCGAGGTTCTGCCTGCATTAGGAATGCTGATAAAGGTTATACCAATGTTGTGGCTCAGATGTAGCCAATATTTCTCCTCCCTCAGTTTCTTAGGCTGTTTGGAATATAAAAGCTACACATATTGGTAATTAATATGCTGTGGATGCTGGGGCATTTTTTAACATCCAGGATATTTATTCTGCATTGAGTGCGTAGAGCTTCAAAGCACAATTTACAAACAAAACACATGAACAGGACACTGGAGGTTTCAGAAACATATGGTGGGGTTCATGTGTCTAATATAAAGTGTTTAATGTCATTCTGGATACTTTCTGATACCTTGCCTAATCTCCAGCTGCTGCTCTGGAAGGGTGAAGGTCTGCTATATGTATTCTATCTTTTCTATCTGCCCTGCAAGAATATCTTGTGGATATCTTGGAGCACCTCTCCTACGAGGACAGGCTGAGAGAGTTGGGGCTGTTCAGCCTGAAGAGAAGGCTCCAGGGAGACCTTCCAGTGGCCTCCCAGTACCTGAAAGGGGCTACAAGAAAGCTGGGGAAGGACTTTTCATAAGGGCAGTTAATGACAAAACAAGGGGAAATGGCTTTAAACTGTAAGAGGTTTAGATGAGATATTAGGACGAAATTCTTTGGTGTGAGGGTGGTGAGACACTGGCCCAGGTTGGCCAGAGAAGCTGTGGCTGCTCCTCCCTGGAAGTGTTGAAGGCCAGGCTGGATGAGGCTTTGAGCAACCTGGTCTAGTGGAAGGTGTCCCTGCTGATGGCAGGGGGATTGGGACTGGATGATCTTTAAGGTCCCTTCCAACCCAAACCATCCAGGATGCTGGCATTTAGGCATCTGAATACTTCTAGATCCTTTTGCTGATAGGAGGCTTTCCAGAGAAGGATGCAAATGTGAACACGAAGGAAATACTAAAAAAAAAAAATAAAAAAAAATTAAAAGCATACTTTGGCAATCCTGGAGCTTGATATCATATTTATAATCAATGCTTGTCTGATCAGTTCTTGCGAGAGGAATATCTTCATAGTGTGGTGAAGTAATGCTTGAAAAATCAACAGTGGTAAATGGCTTTATGTCAAAGGAATGTGTATGATCATCCATCGCAGACAGATCCACTGGACTAATTCCAAAGTTAATGGGCCAAAACGGCATTTCTGTGTCAACCATTGTAATCCCTGTAAACAAACAAAAAAAGAAACAAACATTTTAAAAGATGCTAGTTATCTCTGTAATGCGTTTAGGCCCAAGCTGAGGTCCAACTGTCCCGTGTCCAAAGGCTTGAGATGCAAACTCACAACCAGCTGTAGTTTTTAGGGGAATGTTTAGGCCCCATCTATCATTTGGCTTGAGTCTGGCACCATATAATGCATGAGGCTGTATAGTAACATTGTGTGGCTAACACTGGGCAGTTCATCCAGCTTTGAGGTGGTTCTTAGGAAGTCTGTGACATCTCATGTCATAAAACCAAAGGAGATTAGCTGGCATCCAGGGCTCAGGCTAACCTTAGAAGAGAAAGGCTGTCTGACATGCTACTAGACTGAACTGAGCTCATCTGTACTTCAAAAGGCAGCAGAGACAACTAGTGGACTCACAGAACAACGGTTAGATAAATAATTGACAAAAAAAAAAAAAATTGGAAAAAATAACCATCTAAATAATTATGAATGGCCAGAGGAAATGCAAATGCATTTTAATAATATATCTTATAAAAAATTTGGTAAGCATGCAAGTAATTAAAAAAAAATCCCCCCAAAAACAATGATGCAAAATTAAAGCAGCATAAGTGGAAAAAAAATTCACTTTTTTTTTTTTAAACAGACAGGTAACAGTGACTGTTGCATCTCTCAATAGTGTGCATATGAATAGAATTCTTCTATTTAATTTTCCAGTTTTGCAAATTCTAATAATCATTATTCCAAAGTGCCTTAAAATCTTAAGGATTTTTACATTAAGAAAAAAAAAAAGTAGATGGTATTAAATAGTGGTGTTTTTCCTCCAAATAACCAGAAATATTTGAAATCTTTACTCATTCAAGTATGTAAAAAGTTTTATTTCAGAGTCTTAGACCCAAAGCTCAAGGAAATTTAATTCACGACTTTCCAAATTCCATATGTATTTATGCAGCTCTTGAAAGTAGTTAGCAAATAAAAAGCTTCAATATACAAAAATCTTCAGCAAATCAAGTGAATTTAGATTGAGATATAAAATGTTTTTCTGAGTCCTCTTCTGACAGTCAGCTGAACCAAAATCCTTGATTTAGACATATTTCAACTATGAAAAAGTCTTTAAGTAGCAGCAAGTGTAAAACACTTACTGTCTTATAACTAGGGTCTGTCTTTAATTTTTCATGATTTATAAAAAGAAAATTGTAATCTAAAAATAAATAGAAGTTATGGAACTAAAATAACTTGGCCACTTTGGCTGTTTAATTTGGACTTTAGACCCAATCAAGTAAGTAGTCTTTAACCTCTAGATAACAGGAACTTTGATTTGATCTACTTTGAATCAAAACTATTCTGTCAAGCTGCTAAAACTGTTCTTGCAAAATGAATATAATGGAACTGAGCTGATTTATAATTTTGAGATCATCCTTTGTTTTAACAGATCTACAGGTAAGTCAAAAAGTGGTTGTCCTCCCCATCAACTACGCTGAAGCACTAAGGTAGCATTGGCTAGAAATGGTCACAATTCCCTTAATCTTTCCTCAGGAAAGTCACCATCATTCTTACACCTTTTAGGACTCGCAGCACAGCCCTTTAGTTGTTCTACCTTGAAGATCGATAAGAAAGGCTGTAAAATATCTTTCTTATTCTTAAATTTCAGGTGAGAAATCCTCATTGCAGTGGGAACAGAAGAGATGCTGCTGTATCCCATGCTGCACGACATACGTGCTGTCCTTAGCAGAACAAAAAGGGAACCTAGAGCTCCTTCATACTGCTACTCCTACTACTACATGACTGATAAAGTCCTGGAAAGCAAAGAGTGGCCAAGAGTGAACTGTTGGCAAGGTTGGCCAGCCATCTACCTTCCCAAAGACTTCAGTCATGGGATGGGATATCCATTCTCATGTTATCCTTAATGAAAGTAAGATCTGCCTACGAGTAAACAACAGAATTTCTAACTGCCACGAGTGAAAATTACCTGGTGAAAGTACATTACAGGTTGCCAGAGTACCTCGGTGTTATATAGTATCTTCCAAACAGTCAATGTTTCTGTAAGCATGAATTGCAAATCCCTGCCCATCAACACTGGGAACCGTCTTCCTTGAACAGATCTCCAAATAAAGCAATAAAAGAGAATAGACTCCATCTTAAGAGTCCATTTTTGCAATTAACCAGACACACCTTTAAAAAGCTAAAATAAAATCAAGAGACATCTAAAACTTAAACATTGGCTTATATTCCTTTAAGCAAGTGACATTGAGAGTTATGTCCACTTTGTGCCTGGAGGGCTGCCTCAAGGGTGAAGAAGAAGGATGCCTACAGGCATGGTCCTGGTTACAGCCCAGGTTGATCCCATGGAGTCCATAGGACTCGATACGCACAGCTGAAACAACTGCGGGCAACCACGTCATCAGAGGGCAGGAGGAATCACGCTGGCAGCTGCCCTCACACAGGCCCTCCTCTGTGCTAGAGAAGCTGCTGAAGGCTCTTGACTACATGCTTAAAGGAAAGTGCAAGCTTAAGTCACTCATTGAATAGAAACACACTTAATCACTTGCCACTGGTCTCAATTTTTGTGTTACACACGAAGCAGATGTTAAACAATTTTCCTGCTTCATCTATAAAACCTCCATAAAAATATTCTAGGCGTTATCATTTTGTATTTTACATTTAAAAGGCTTCAGTTTGCAAAACACTCTGAGCTAAGCAGCGAGTTAAAGCCGGTATATATTTCACTTTATAACAGAGTGAATGACTGGGATGTTTTGGAGAATTTGACTATGTATAACATGATTGATTCTACAAGATTCCTGAATCATTATAATGAAATTCACTCTATACAGATATACTACAGCTTGGAAAGACTCAGATAAACATGTAAGTCCAGAGATCTGGTTTGCCAGGCACAACCTCCAAAAACTAAGAGGGTATAGTAATTCCTTAGCAGGAATTTTCCCTTTTCACAGCACAGATAACTTGTTTTAGCAAAGTCTATCAATAATGTCAGAGCAGTTTCATTGTAAAAGTATTTCTAGCCTAGAACTGTGATGTTTTAGGCTTTTATTAAGTTTTAGAAGAAGCAAAATAAACATAAATAAATAAATAGTAATCTGTCATTTTAACAATCACTTACTATGAAGGACTGTGTTTAATGCATGCTATTTTTTCCTTACTAGTTGTTTTTTTTTCTGTGTGGCTGTTCACATCACACACATGCTGTATGCTGGGAATAGAGGAAATAAAAATGCCAAGATTACACTGAAGAAAAAAAACCAGGGAATTGTGGGTGCAACTATCAGCTTCCATGGGTCACAAAGTAATTCCATTTTATGCTACTCATATTCCTGCTCTAAGGTAATAAAATCTGGAATCAGCAGCCATTTACAATTCTTTGAGCAAAAGCCTATAAACTCCACCCCTTCCAGAGGTTAACGTCCCATGACCAGTAATATCAGTTCTTCTGATCTTCAGGCAACTAAAAAGGCTTTGCTCAATCGTTTCACTACAAAAAATGTCTACTTTTAGTTTTGAAAAATCGTTATGTTGTCTATATCATAATTTCACCCAAGATGTCCACAAGGTACCTAGCAATGATACTATACACACATAAATGTGTAGATGTGAAGTCTTCTGTTAAAATAAAACGTTCTGGCATGGTAAAATGCCTGAAGTAGACAGGATTTACTCAACACACACAAAAACGGTTTGCATATACATGTTTAACTGCTTTCCTTCCATTGAAAAGAGTTAACTCTAGCTATACTGCAAATCTAAATTGCCAAGGCCTTAGCTCTGTACATTTTACATGAATGTAATTCCCACTCCCAGTCTAGCATGAACCTAGAAGGGCTCATGAACACAGAACTTTCAATCTAACCACAGTTAAGAAACATTTCACCTCTCAGGCCTCACAGTTGAGGAAAGTACATCTCTTCTGAGCAATGTAACATTCTCCATCAACAGCCCCACAAGTCAGCACAAGATGGGTGTTTATACGCATGTGTTTCTACGTGGGGAGAAGTTGAGAACATGTGGCTTCTACCTAATCTTGGCTTTCTTCATTGCTGTATAAGATACAGAGATTCTGTGCTTTCACAGCTCTAGGAACTGTATTTCTACTACTTACTATGACATCTGTGCAAAGAGGAAGGGAAAGATTATTTTCTTCCTATGTTTCTTGATAACAAAAAGACTACAATATTTTACTTTCTCTTATTATGTACATATTTCTGATTTGTATGGTAAAAGAAAAAAGCAGCAATGCCACCTGGTATACAGAGATACCAATGAATAGCTATTTTTCAAAGATGCCAGTAAATTCAAAATTACTAAAGGAATCTTGAAGATATTAGTGCAATAGATTCAGGACTGTAAGAATATCTAAGGTCAAAGCAATCACAAGACAGCTGTTCTGTGCTTTCTCTGTTTCTGGACAACAAGATGTATAATATAACATTTCTTTCTACAATAAAACAGCGAGGCATCAATTGTCCCAGATTAATATGATTCATCAATATTTCTGAACCATGAGAATTTTCAGGTTTATTCAGGATTTGGATATAGAAATCAAAGCATTTCATTACAGTTTTAGTGTTCAAATCTTCACATATGACTGCTAAGTCAGTTAAATTAGGGCTATCCTCTTCAACTCAATAAAATTTGCTATTACACTGGAAACAATTAATTTTACTGTTCAGACTAATTTATATTATAAAAACAAGACTGAAGAAAACCTTTTATGTGTCAGTTTTATTCTTATATTATTGAAAACTAAAATATGAAAACTGTTCCTATGTTTAGCAGTTAGTTTACAGATATTTTGACTTTGCATGTAACTCTATTTAATTTCTGCTGTCTATTTTGCCTTTTTCCCTCCCCATAAAAGACGAATGCTAACATTCCCCTCTGGGGAAATAAATAAATAAATAAATAACAATTAAAAAAAAAAATTTTAGTCTTCTCATGGCTTTAAAAAAACCCCACCAAAACATCCAAAGCATAAGTCCAATCAG